AAACAACGTGACGGGGATTAATGGAGAAAAGTAATATCTACATATAAAGACGGAGAAAGTAAACGATAATGTTTATGGTTAAGTGTTAGCACCCCCGAAGAGGCACAAGCTCTTACGTTGATATTGGAGATTTCAATAAAAAACGAAAAAACAAACAAAACGAATAACGAAATTGAAACCCGAATAGTACTCCAACGAACGAATATTCGGGTACAGCCCTACAATAAAGTATCCCACCCCTCGCTGTTTCCTGTGTTTTGTTATAACCGGGGTCAGATCCCTGGAGCACACGTTGGTCCAGGTTCATCTGTCCTTCCTGTATCTTCTAGAGCAGTGGTTCCCAAACGGTGTGCCGCGGCACACTGATGTGCCGTGAGACAAGTCCGGGTGTGCCGTGGGATTTTGTGACAAACATACGTTATTATTGCAATATACAACTACACAAAAATAATACTTTTTTTATTTACTATAATATCAGTACTTTGTAGGTTTATATGTACGTAATCTGCGTGACTTGCGCATCCACATCTCCACGTGCAGTGCTGCATAAACATGGCTGAGTCAGCGATAACTCTCGAGGGGTGGAGGTATGCCCATTACTTTGAGTTCGTCCGAAGAATAGACAGGAATGTGACGGTGAGGTGCAAACTGTGTCCAGGCCAGAAGCTGTTATCCACTGCTGGAAACACCACGTGGTCAAACCTCAACAAGCACCTGCAAAGAACACATGCTAAGGTGAAGCTACCGCACACGCTATTTGTTGTTTCTTTATATCACGTCGTCTATTCTTCTTCTCTGTTTTCCGGTTGTTGCCTGTTATGAATGACAAATACACACTACCGCCGCCTGCTGGTAAGGAAAGTTATTGCCACTCAGGCATGCGCAAGTTCGTACGTGCTCGGCGAGTAAAGTAACGAGTTACTTTATGTAGATAGTAACGAAGTAGTGTAATATATTACTTTTTTTAAAGTAATATGTAATATATTAAAAACAATTAGTAATGACCCCATCTCTGGAGTTGGCGTTCTCTACTCTGATTTACATGAAGAACAACAGGAGGTCACGGCTCTCTGTTGAACAGGACTTGCGAGTGGCCCTCTCCTCAGTGCCACCAAGGATAAAAAAAATCTGCGCGCCCCGACAGGCACATGTATCTCACTCATTTGTAAGTCGGCAAAATATTTACAATAGCACATGTTTCAATGCTGATTGCTGAAATGTTAATTTTGTGAGCTGTCTGGTTTAAATGAGTGTGTTGCTGCTTTGATGAAACATAATTTGATAAAGTTTCAAATTAATTTCTGAAATATTTCGTTAATAAATATTTCATGAGTAATATAGTTGTCTTTGTCACATTTTATTTAGTATTAGTAAATAATTATGCACATTTTCAGATATTTTACATGATATGAGTGATAACATGTGTTATAAGGGCTATTTTGCACAATAGGTGTGCCTTGAGATTTTTACTTGTCCTTTGGTGTGCCTTGGGCACAAAAAGTTTGGGAACCACTGCTCTAGAGGTGTTCATTTCTTACCAGAAGGTTATTCAATGAAGGATTTCCTCCACAATCAACATATAAATAAACAATTAAATCCTCACATGATGTCCAAAAACTGTGATAAAGATCTAAATGTAAAAGTAAAGCATGCTGATAAGAAAGGGATAATATTAATTGCTGGTTTCCTGTGTGAGATTTGCTTGCATGAACACCCATATGTTATACATGAATCTACTAGCCTCTTATGCTGGACTGGAATCAACACACATCTGGACTAATTGCTGTGCACATATTCATGTATATACTGCCTCTGGTGACCTATGTGTTGTTTGTTATGTTTTTGTTGCAATGTGTCAACGACTTAAAAATAAAGTATTATAACAGGAAAAAGGAGATATTAAAAGAGGTATTTGACTTAAAAACCCACCTATGATGAAGGAGGCGATGCTGCTGGAGCTGAGGCCCAGCGGAGGGCGCTGCTCCTCCTCCCCGCAGACAGAGGAGAGGAAGGAGGTGAAGGAGGAGCTGAGGCTGGATCTCAGCTGGCTCCAGGGCGTGTCCCGGTGCACCGTCACCCGGCCCAGAACCAGAGGGTGGACCCCCTGCTGAGCCTCCTCCTCCAGAGCCTCCACCGGACACATGGAGCCCAGACCTCCTCCACCTGAACACTGGAGGAGCACCAGCACCCGGTACGAGTCTGCAGGACAGAGAACGCTCTTTAAAGGTCCCCTATCATAATGTTTTTCATCAATATATTACAGGTCTCAGATATATACAGAACATGTGTCTGATTGGCTGAACCACCAATCAGATCTATAGGCGCATTCACACCGGAGTACTTTTCCCGTTTAGTTCCGTTAGTACCCCTTACACACCAAAAAGAGTACTTAGTGCCCCATTTTTTTTACCCCCATTTTTAGTGCCTGCTAGAGAGGTGGGACTATCCTGGGGAGAAAGAAATACCAATTTCTGATTGGCTGGGCGAATTGCAAACCACGCCCCGTATAACTCTGAAAAGTTTTGTGAAGCCGCCATTGTATTTGCTGGCATTAGCATTATTAGCATTAGCCCAGCGCACCAACGGAGAGGCGTTCTGGCGATTTACTCGGAAGGCTTCAGTAGAAGCAGCTGGGAGTCCCAGCAGCTTCTACTGAAGCCAGTCCCCAACTCCGGGGACTTCCGGCCGGGGACTCCGGGTGGCAGTATACGCCGTGAAGTGGTTTGCGGCCTGCCAGTAAACTCAAAGCAGAAGAAGAAGAAGTGACGTCAGCGGCTTCATTTGCGTAATCTTCCCTCGGGGAAAAGTACTCCGGTGTGAACGCGATTGGTACTTAGTGCCGGGGCACTAAGTACGGCAAAGTACTTGGTGTGAAAGCGGCTATTGCAGCATCCCATAATCCCCTCTGTTTCAGCCCTGTTTCCAAAGTGCTGATTCTCTGTCTGTTACTTTAGATGAAAATAAGGAGGGGACACATGTTGATGTAGAAGAGACATGAAGAAGAGGGGACACATGTTGATGTAGAAGAGACATGAAGAAGAGGGGACACATGTTGATGTGGAAGAGACATGAAGAAGAGGGGACACATGTTGATGTAGAAGAGACATGAAGAAGAGGGGACACATGTTGATGTAGAAGAGACATGAAGAAGAGGGGACACATGTTGATGTAGAAGAGACATGAAGAAGAGGGGACACATGTTGATGTAGAAGAGACATGAAGAAGAGGGGACACATGTTGATGTAGAAGAGACATGAAGAAGAGGGGACACATGTTGATGTGGAAGAGACATGAAGAAGAGGGGACACATGTTGATGTAGAAGAGACATGAAGAAGAGGGGACACATGGTGATGTAGAAGAGACATGAAGAAGAGGGGACACATGTTGATGTAGAAGAGACATGAAGAAGAGGGGACACATGTTGATGTGGAAGAGACATGAAGAAGAGGGGACACATGTTGATGTGGAAGAGACATGAAGAAGAGGGGACACATGGTGATGTAGAAGAGACATGAAGAAGAGGGGACACATGTTGATGTAGAAGAGACATGAAGAAGAGGGGACACATGGTGATGTAGAAGAGACATGAAGAAGAGGGGACACATGGTGATGTAGAAGAGACATGAAGAAGAGGGGACACATGTTGATGTGGAAGAGACATGAAGAAGAGGGGACACATGTTGATTTAGAAGAGACATGAAGAAGAGGGGACACATGGTGATGTAGAAGAGACATGAAGAATAGGGGACACATGGTGATGTAGAAGAGACATGAAGAAGAGGGGACACATGGTGATGTAGAAGAGACATGAAGAAGAGGGGACACATGGTGATGTAGAAGAGACAGGACAATGTGGATTTGACACAATAGGTGACATTTAAAGAAATGTTTTTACAGCTTTATTGAGGTTTCTGGAACTGCAACAATACTGACATTTAAACACAATGCAGAGAAATACCATGAATGAAACTTTTTGTGTTTTTACTACAGAAACAAGTGGAAACTCACGGAGGTTTTCCAGTAGGTCTTTGCAATCATCAGTAGCCACGTCGTGAATAGTGCGATTGCATTTATCCCTCCTCTCGATGTCCTGCTCACTGTGGCTGCACAGCACCTCCAGACACTCCTACACACACACACACACACACACACACACACACACACACACACACACACACACACACACACACACACACACACACACACACACACACACACACACACACACACACACACACACACACACACACACACACACACACACACACACACACACACAGTAAAGGGTGTGTAACTACAAGTATTTCTGCAACAGTAGCTCTTGTGTGTTCGGAAAGCATGGATTAACGATGGAGGGGGTCTCATTCATATTCCAGTCAGACCCTGGCTGTAGTCTAGTCTGGTGTCTCCTGCATTTGTTTGAGATCAGCGGTCCCATTAACCTGCTGCTGAGGAGACTGACGGCCGGACATTAGCGCAGGTAGAGTCAGTGAGGTGTAAATAAATAGTGGAAACCTTTCAAAGTGATATCATAGCTGCAGGAAAGCAGTGTGTTGACTTCATTTGTTTCCACTCTCCTTGATTTCTTTTTATACCTATGATGGTCCGTATGAGGAAGTCCGTTCAGTCCTATTGTAACCACCATGATCTGTGATTTGTTGGACATCTTTTTGATCCGTTTATATTCTTTTCAGACTGGTATTTGCCTCCAAAAAGTAGATTTTTTTAAACTTTGGCTGCAGATTTACAACAGACTGTATTTGCATTCAAATGCTAACGCCCTGTGGAGTTAGCTACTAAGCTAACAGGCCATTTATTTCATTTGAATTGCTTATGTCTTGTTATTACATTGAATAATTGGTTGAATTTCTTTCTAATAATAAATAAAACTAACTTTCTTCGCATCTTTGAGGAGAAGGATTTAAATGTATCGATGAAGCTACATTTCTTTTTGAGTTATGTATAGAGTTACGTGTCCATCCGTGTGGTCGATGTCCAGTGTTTCCCACAGATATGAAATATACTTGGGCGGGTGGTGGCAAGGAGGGGGGGGGTGCACGAAAAAAAAAAAAAAGTTTTAACAACATTATTTATTGACTTTTCATTCCGGTATAATCATTTTGCGCAAAGATGGCACTGTTTGTCAGAGCACTTCATCCTTCTGGGATTTCATGAAGAACAGCTCCAACGCCTGTGTGTATGGGAATGCCTCTGGTGCTGGTCCATTAACTGCCAGTGTTTCCCACAGATCTGAAATATACTTTGGGGGGTGGTGGTAGCGGGGGGGGTTGAGGTGACGTGCAACAACATTAACCTTTCTGTTGGTCGCTTGTTAGCAGACCCTTCACGCTAACAGAGCGAACAGGTACAGGCAGGGCCCATAATGATAGCCCTATAGTTTAAATCTACTACCCACACATGAACATATGGAAATGGGCTACTATTTTAAAAAATAAATGTATTTATTAATGTATTTAGGAACCTATCCATGTGATTTTTAGTGGGGGTCGACCTCAAATCCTCTAGGGGGGTCCAGGGGCATGCCCCCCCGGTAAGATTTTATTTTTTATTTTGGAGTTAAATGCATCAATCTGGTGCATTTTGAGGGGAAAATAAAGAGACTAGATCTATGGAAACACCTATATTTAACATAACTGTATACATTTCAATAATCATAAAATCAAGGCCATAACCAATAACATACCATTTCCAATATGAAAAAAACACTGAAACTTGTTTATTTATTTTTGGTTCATTTATAGTTGTGAGTGTGTCTGTGCTCCTGAATCAGCCTCTCCTGTCTCCCTCCTCTCCCCCATCTCCCTCCTCTCCCCCTGCTCCTCTTTGAGGCAGCAGCAAAGACTAGTTTTCTCTCAACAAGTTTTAAAAGTGTATCTTACCTTTTTTCACCTAGTTAACTTTTTATTTATTTATTCATGCATATTTGACTAATCACATTACATTTCATTTAGCTGACGCTTTTATCCAAAGCGACTTATAATGACCGATTACACCAGGGGTGGCCAACCCGCGGCTCTCGAGCCGCATGCGGCTCTTTGCCTAGTTTCATGCGGCTCTTCAGTTCATATCGAATTGTATGTGTGAGTTTGGGGGAGAGACACTGACTCCTGACTAGTGTTGCACGGTGTACCGATACTTGAAAGGTATACCCTGCCGTTAAAAACGTTACGATTCCTCCGTTTCATTAGTATCGGTACTTTAAGAGTGACGGGGGAAAGTACTCCGGTGAGAAAGCGCCGTTTAATAAGAGCCGTGTGTGTTCAGCGCTCTGCTTTCACTCCCTGCACTGCAGCCGTGCCTGTAGTCCCGCCCCTCTCAAGCACGCTCTAAGTCCCTCCCCTCTCTCGTGCACGCGGCCACGCGCTAGCTGCCAGAGCATGTGAGAAAACGAGAAGCATGGCTGCAAGTGGGAGTGCAACTGCTGCTGCGCCTCGGCTTGTTGACAAAAAAGACGCCAGAAGCGACATTCTGATGTATTTTAGCTATATCTCTGACAGTGAGGGCAAGCCTACGGACACCATGAGGCCTGTCTGTCAGACATGTATTAATTTGATTTAATACGAATTCTTGTCCTTTATTTTATTTATTGTTCTCATTGTTTAAAAGTTTGTGTTATTGTTATGGTTCTGGTGTGAAATAAAGCACAATTACATTTAAGACTGTTTCCCTTTTTTTAAGAAAAATAATCGGAATCGCAATTCTTGACTCGGTATCGAAACCAAAATGTTGGTATCGTGACAACACTAGCTACTCCTGACAGTTAAACCTGATATTTAGTAGGTCTGTTAAGTATTGAATGCTGATAATTCTGACGTAATTTGGCCGGTCAAAGTTGTTTGGGCTCGGATAAAATCGCTCCGGTTCTCCCTACGTGTGTATGTGTGGTGTCAGGTGTAAGTATGAGAGGATGACAGGCGTCTAATTTTGATGTGGCCCAAGAGCCAATCACAATAATACCTGCAATGCAGTGAACCAATCACCTTTGAGGGGGGGAAAACCTATCGTTGATTAAACACTATCCAGTGTTTCCCCTACCATTGTCTTGGAGGGGCACTGCGCCCCGCCAACGGAGCCCCGCGCCCCCCCATGAAATTCAAGGTGTTATATATATAATTTAAAAATAAAAAAAAAATATATATATATATAGCACCAAATTGCAAATAATCTATAACTACTGTCACTTTTCACATTGAACATGTGCTCTTTTATTAAATAAACTAAACGCTTTCATCTTAAATTGTGGGTTTAGTGTTTTTGACCCTAAGAAACACTGATGGATTAATCAATAACAATAATCCACAGCTCCTCTCTCTGCTCCAGAGGATTTAAAAAATATATATATCCCAATGCCACAAAAATGCATCAGTGACGTGGTTGAAATCTTGTCTCCAGAAAACTAAAAACTGAAACAATATCAGTGACTGTGTGTTTGATGTGGCTCTTTGCAGTAACATAGAAAACATGTGGCTCTTAACCTCTGACTGGTTGGCCACCCCTGGATTACAGGGACATTCTCCCTGGAGTAACTAAGGGCTAAGTGCCTTACTCAAGGGCACACTAGTGGTGGTGTTCCTGGCGGGATTTGAACTCACAGCCTTCCGATCTTCAGCCCACCTCACTATCCATTAGACCAATCACTACCCCTCTCAAATGGAAATATGTGTTTACATAAATGGTGACCACACCGTTTGAGACCCACTGAGAACTTAGACTAAGTTAACTATCTAAACACTCAGAGAGTCCTTTACCTCACCTGAGCTGAGGTTATCCCGAGCTTGAATGACACACAGAGACCAATCAAGGGCTTTGATTTATGATCTGTATGACAGTGGCCATGTCGGCAGGCCACATCATGTGCACAGCCAGTCACCCTGTGTGAGGCAGGCCACTTAACAGGCCAGAAGGAGGCGAGATCAGAGCAAGGGAGCGAGGGATCATTGTCTACAAGTTAATCGATTGCAGATGGCGTCGTGGTCACGGACGAATAAAAAAAAAAAAACATTAAAAAAAAACTTTATAAAAAAAAAAAAAAAAAACTAAATGGGTCGCGAAATATACTTGGGCGGCCGTTAATATACCTGGGCGGCCCGCCCAGGTATAGTCTATGTGTGGGAAACCCTGATGTCATATATTCCCCCTGCTGTTTGGTAAGTACAGCAGCATGATCACACAGTAAATAAACAAGCTGAAAAACATTGCAGCTTCTCCCGGGTTATGACTAAATAAAGTTTCCTCCATTGTTTTATCCTATATTTTGGCGGCTGCTCCTCACCTTGAGGCCGAGGGCAGCAGCCATGTGAGCGGCCGTCCATCCGTCGCTGTTGTCCCGGTTCAGCAGGGCTTCAGGTAGAGCGAGGGGGGGGTCAGAGGTCACAGCGGGGGGGTCGGAAGTCACAGAGGGGGGGTCACCCTGCGTCCGGTAGCACAGCAGGAGGCGCAGAGTGTCCACGTGTCCGGAGCGCACGGCGGCGTGGAGAGACGAGCAGCCGTCCTGCGCACAGGGAAGAAGAAGAATAATAATTGTATTTATAATAATATTGTGTACATTTCGCACATATTTCATTCCATTCTATTTCAATGTAAATACTGCTATATTTTATTTGACTATATTTCTTATTATTTTTTAATGTTATTATAGTTTTCTTAAAATAGTTCTCTATCGGTGTTTCTGACAACTCAAGAAAGGTTGAGAAATGTCCACTTCTGTCTCCTGCAGGCTCATACGAGTGAAGTAGCTCATGGTTGTTTATATAATGTATTAGCATGACAATCATTTTCTCGATTATGATGATTTAGTTACAATTACAATGAATCATTTCGGAGAACACATGAATTCCCCATGAACTGGAAGTTGTTCCAAATACTATCTCTTGAACACATTGAGAGAAAATCAGGATCAGGTGGTAATTAAGTAGCTGAGAAATTAAAAACCTGGGCTTTGTGATATTTTTTCCACTTGATTTCAAAATGTGTGTTCTATGATATTTGAATATTTCTGTATTCTGGTATTTTAAGATTTAGTGTTATATATTGTTTTATTTTATTGTTCTTTACATTTTTTATGATATTTGAATATATATTTGAATTACATTTTGATATTATATATTTTTTCTGCTTGATTTCAAAATGTTTGTTCCATGATATTTTAATATTCATGTTTAGTGATATTTTTAGATTTATATTACATTTTTATATTACATTTTTTAATATTTCAATATTTTTGTATCCTCCTCTTCCTCCTCCTCCTCTTCTTCCCCCATCGTCGGCCATCTTTTCCTGCCTCTATAAATAATCGTGTGCAGAGGAGGTCAGATTTGCTGCAGAGACTCAGCAGGGGGGCCGAGCTAAATGTGGAACAAAAGCAGGTACACTAAATATAGGCTCTGCTCTCGTGCTTCCACGGCAACTAACAAGGCCCTCTGGTTACCATGGAGACCCGTACATTCATTAGCTTGCACCAGTCAGAGGAGAGAAGATTACTTTTATTCTTCTGTTGTTTTTCTGAGTATAGTTTACAAAATTGGACTAAAACTGTAGAAATGATAAATAAATAATAGGAAGAAATGTGTGAATGTGTCGGGGGGCACTGACTCATCAAATGGTACAATATACATTATATTTTAAATTGAAAAGCTACATATATGTGTCTCTATTCCAATTTGTTTAATGTATTTAATGTTACAAAATAAATCCGTAAATACACGAAATCATCCGCGTAATTTTTTTGTATTCAAATACCAATTTTTTGAAATAGCATCTGTAATAAGTAGAAAGTGGTGCCTCAGATACACTTCTTGGGTAATCAGAATCATAGTACTCTCAATTTATCACGAGAGGAAATTAGGTTTTGTGACAGTTGAAAACAATAAATAAAAAGATAATCTTATATTATGTATTATCATCGTGGATTGAAAATAGCATTTCAAGGAATTTACAATTAGCAGTTTTGAAAATGTTGACATTTTATATACTAAATAATGAACAAAATCATTCTAATGTGAAAAATGAAAGAATTTGGATGGAAACCCTCTCTCTAAAATAACTTAAAGGGGACCTATCATGCAAAATGCACTTGTTGAAGTCTTTTATACATAAACATGTGTCCCCGGTGTGTCGGGGAACTCACGCAGCGTCAGAAAACAAAACCCTCTCTCTTTTCCTCCGTACCCAAATCTCTGAAAAGGGGAACAACGGAGCTGATCCAGATTTGCGTCCGATATGACGTAATATCTGAAGTGTGGACCCACGGCCCAATCAGAAACGTTGCTATCAGAAACAATGCCCGACTGTTTTGGACGTAATATGGTTGGTGTTTACATTAGCATCGCTAACACTCAGAGCTAACCTGTACTGGAGAGCATGTGTGTGAAGAAGCAGGAAGTAAAAAGGAACTCACTTTGTGGTGTAACCGGCAAGAGAGAAAGCCTTTGAGCTCCAAACTGTTTCAGAGAGAATCCTTGATAATCCATGATATGGCGTTTCATCACGGCAGCATTTAGTTTAGACAGTAGCTGCCGGGTCCCGCATGAGCTCAGACTCTCCTTTTTAATTTGTTATCTATCTTCTTTATTTTTAAAGCTTTATCCCCAAATCAGCACTTTTGAAACAGGAAGTGAAATAGAGGGATATGAGGCATGGCTAGAATGGGTGATCTGTTTGGTATTTTGAGCAAAACACTTCATAGACGTGTTTTCTATATATTTGTATATATCTGAGACCCATGCTATTGCCTAAAGATAGCATGATAGGTGACCTTTAAGTTAAATACAAGGAGTTGAAATAAAAATACGCAATAAAAAGAGCAATTCTATCTTAAATAATACAAATATTAATTTAGATTGAGGCTCTAAAGTTTGACCTCTTTAAACTCACCTGGGACTATATTCACAAAAAGATGGCAAGGACAATTTGTGCCACATGTCAAAATATACATTTAATGTAGAAACAAAGATGGCATCACACTTTACAGCTGTCTTTATTATCTAACTTGCTGTAGCAATGCTGTGTATCATTTGTGGAAACAGATCACCAATCAGTGTCTGTGAATGTGAACCACACAAATGTGTTTTCGTATCTGCAAATACATCAAACATAATGATATAGATAGATAGATCTTTAATTTTGTCATTGTACAGGTACAACGAAATTACAATAAACTCAAGGTGCCAACACGCAACAACAAGACAATATAAAAACAATAAATGGGACTTAAAATAGACGTGATAGGGAATATGTACATAAATAAATAATAAATTAAATTGCACGATTCCCCTCATATATAAACAAATATCATTTAGACAAATCTACCTCCTTTGTAATTTCGTTGTACCTGTACAATGACAAATAAAGATCTATCTATCTAACAATTTACATAAGTTAATTATTGAAGTTCAGGACAGTTTGAGACTCGCTGATGGAAACCCTTTCTCTAAAGTTGATTAAAAAACAAGGAGTATTAAAATATGCAATAAAAGGAGCAACTCACGGCGGTGCAGAGCGAGCGCTCGGCCCCGGCGCTCAGCAGGACGCGGACACTCTCCAGACTTCCTGTTTCACACGCCAGGAAGAGAGAGGTCTGCCCCCCCGACGCCGACACATCCACAGCAGCTCCTGCAGACAGCAGCGCCTCCACACAGCTGGGGGGGGGAGGGGTAGAAACACGCATGTTAATATACACACAAAGTCCAATATATCTATGTCTGTCTGATGATGTTTGATCTTCTTTAGAAGGGTCAAATATCTCATAGGGAATGACCACAAACATACACAGTTGATTTTGTAGACTGTAAATACTAAATAATACCAATAAAAACCTGATTGGTTGGTCGACTATGTTTTGTTAACCTCAATTTGGGCGTTTTTTGCACCAGACGTTGTAATATAGTTCATTTTGTACATAAGGATCATCCAGTGTGCTTAACCTAAATTAAAACAATAGAGAATACAAAAAAAAACGTGATTTAAAGGCCGGGGGTAGAAACATGCATGTAAATATACACATACTGTATGATGCTCACAGTATGTCCAATATACGTCTGTGTGTCTGATGACGTTCGATCTTTTTTAGAAAGGTATTCTTGATGAGCTTGCTGAATTAGTTTTTTATATCATGTATTTTTACCTATGTTTTAATTTGATGTAACCACACACACACACACACACACACACACACACACACACACACACACACACACACACACACACACACACACACACACACACACACACACACACACACACACACACACACACACACACACACACACACACACACACACACACACACACACACACACACACACACACACACACACACACACACACACACACACACACACACACACACACACACACCACCTGTCCAGAGACAAGGGAAGAAACTCCATCAGCCGTCCAACCGGAGGAGAGAGACGATCATCGGAGGAAATGTGAGCTACGAAATACAGTTGAGCCCATCAAATAAACGCAGTGTGTGTGTGTGTGTGTGTGTGTGTGTGTGTGTGTGCCTTTTGAATATCCCCACTCTATAAATAACACCGTGATCAGATAGTACAACACTGCACATTCCCCAGCTGGTGCTGGGCATCGTGTTTTTGGCACAAACACAACACAAACACACACAACACAAACACACACAACACAAACACACACAACACACCTCACTTCAGTTGACAGTCTCTCCTGCTGTAAGCTTCTTCCTTCACATCAGGATCAATACGTGTGATCAGAGCACACTGTGTGTGTAGTGTAAGCATTAACTGTCATTAATCATTTCTAATGAAAGCTCTACCAATCATCCAGCATAAAAACGTGGCGATTATGATATCGTGAGTTGAAAGTTGTGTTTGAAGGAACTTATAATTAGCAGTTTTGACAATATTGATATTGTATATACTAAATAATTACAAAAATCATGAAAGATTGTTGGATTGAAACCCCATCTCTAAGCACTTTTTACTTTTTGAAGCTTTGAGTGGTTGCAAAAACTGAAAAAGCACCAGATAAATGCAGTTTATCTACGGTTTAAGTAATAATGCTTAAATGAAGGTAGGGTTTGTTCAAGCTTCAAAGGAGTTATGGGTTAGGTGAGCCTCAGGGAGCGAGGAAGACTGTGAAATGTTATCAAAAGTAAAATAAAACTGCGGTGTTTGTGAATATGTGTGTGTGTGTGTGTGTGTGTGTGTGTGTGTGTGTGTGTGTGTGTGTGTGTGAGCTCACCTGCTGTGTCCGTGGGCGGCGGCAAAGTGTAAAGGTGTGAATCCATTTTCATCCGAGACGTCAGCAGGCGATCCAGCAGAAAGCAGCAGCTCCACACACTCTGACAGAGAAAAGACAATACAAGTGTTACCTGCTGCTGCTGTACACCAGGAGCCGGCGACAGGCAGAATCAACTAAATACGATAATCATATCCTATAATATCATTCAAACTACTAAAATACAGAGGACAGTACCACAAACATACACCGTTGATTTTGTAGACTGTGAATACTAAATAACACCAATAAAAACATGATTGGTTGGTCGACTATGTTTTGTTAAACTCAATTTGGGCGTTTTTTGCACTAGACGTTGTAATATAGTTCATTTTAACAGCACGTTTTGTACATAAGGATCATCCAGTGTGCTTAACCTCAATTAAAACAATAAAGAATAAAAAGAAAAATGTAATTTAAAGGCTTTCTACTTGAGTACTGTAGGCCAAATTGTCCAAAATCAGGGTTACAGTAGTTCATATGAATCACTTGGTAGAATACACCAGCATTATTTTGTTATGACTTTATTGTTTTACATAGATAGCGACAGTCCTGCCACATCATTAACACTAGAACCGCCAACGGGTACATTTCACCCGCAGCTGTTTCTTGATTGTATGTCACTTTTTTCAATAAAATATTCAAGTCTCCCAGTCCGTGACTTTTCCTGAAAGTCTGTTATGTAGCACCCTCTGTTGTTAAACATTGTCAAGATGAAGTCAGATTGAAATAATTGCCAAAATGTTTTCCATTTATACCCATCAGCGCCAGCGGGTAATATTTACCTTATAGAAAATGCAGTGATTCTCGCGCTATTGATCTTGCTCGTAAAAATAAACATGACGTGTTGCTATAGCAACGCCTGTTGTTTACTGCAGTTCCTAGAACCGATAGAGAGATAGAGGGAGATATAGTTATAGATAGATTGATAGATAGAGAGAGAGATAGATATATAGATGGATAGATGGATAAAATGATAGATGGATGGATAGATGGATGGATAGATAGTTATAGATAGATAGATAGATAGATAGGATAGCTGGATGGGGGATTTATAGATTATCGATATATGGATAGATAGATAGATTGATGATGGATAGTTATAGTATAGATAGATTAGATAGGATGGATGATAGTTTATAGATAGATAGATAGATAGATAGAGAGATAGATAGATAGATAGATAGATGGATAGATAGTTATAGATAGATAGATAGATAGATAGATAGATAGATAGATAGATGGATAGATAGTTATAGATAGATAGATAGATAGATAGATAGAGAGAGAGATAGATGGATAGATAGTTATAGATAGATAGATGGATAGATAGATAGTTATAGATAGATAGATAGATAGATAGATAGATAGATAGATAGAGAGAGAGATAGATAGATAGATGGATGGATAGATAGTTATAGATAGATAGATAGATAGATAGATAGATAGATAGATAGAGAGATAGATAGATAGATGGATGGATAGATAGTTATAGATAGATAGATAGATAGATGGGTAGAGAGAGAGACACTTTTAGCGATATTTCATACTTCATGCTATCTGCACACGAGATATCATATGAAAGCTGAGAGTCCACAGATTCTATTGGTATACGTTTCATCACTGTGCGATGATCAAAACTCACTGTTAACCCTGTGTTCTAGTATGATAAATAAAAGAACATTGTACCTTGAAAATCAATGCATTCTAATAGCGGGTACATTTGACCCGTTGGCGGTTTTAGGTATACAGCGACCCCTGGTGGTTTTAAGAAAGCTTCTGTTTCAGTAGCCTCATTCTGACAATGGGTTTTAATCGACTGTTTTTCTCTGAAAGATGAAGCATGGTACAGTTCTGTCTTCTCCTGTTAAACATCCTGAAATAAATACAACTGCAGAGATATTTCAAAGATACATTCACAATAACTGTCATGGCATTTGACTCTCTACTACATTTCCCAGGAGTTGTAGTCACAGAGTTGGGCTTTTATCTTTACCTAAATGACAAGGCATCCAAATGTAGCTGTCTCGTACAATGGTACAGTCCACTCATCTTAGGATATAGACGGAAATTGTCTGGAAATTGTCCAAGTATTGCAGAAAGACTGATAGAAGAAGCATTTGATGAACATTAAAAGCTGATTTAACAAAGCAGAAGTAGGCCTATATTTCACATGTTTGTAGTGCATGTGACAACATATACAGAAATAGTGTCACATATACATATCCGCACATCTGATACTATGAATCCACCAGGAAAAACAGATCTGAATAAAAACAGATTCCTTCTTCCTGTAAAAAAAGAAATACTCCAAATTGCTCTTTAAAATGTGCCTCTTTCTCTTAGCTTCCTACTGCATGTTTTTGCACTTTTCACGTTCCTATTGTCAACATTTTACCAATTTCCCATCCGGAAATCAAATATCTGCAAGTAGTTTAACATAAAAATGTATCTCAGTTTAGGAAAATGAAAACCCTGATGCAGGTTGCATGCAACCAATGTGCAAACACGTGTTATTAGCAAGAGCTTTTGTTCATGCAACGATATGTGCTTTCCTTTCAAGTTACACAAAGTCTTTGGTGATTCTAATCCTATCTGCATAGAACTGTGTGTCTTACTTGTTTTGCTATGAGTTCTACACTCGTGGAAACATATGTTGTCCTTTAGAACAAATAAAAAGACAGTCTATGTGAAAGAGTGGAGGTAAACGGTGTTCAGATGAGACGGAAAACTATTGTGGGAAAAGAACAGGACGATGAAATATTGATGGAGGGAAAGACTAAAGTATTACCATGTAATACCGTGTGTGTGTGTGTGTGTGTGTGTGTGTGTGTGTGTGTGTGTGTGTGTGTGTGTGTGTGTATCCACCTATAATCCCTGAGCACAGCTGTCCTTCAGCTGCATTAGCTGTGTTTATGGATCAACGCTTCTCGAATGACGATGTTACTAAACATCTCAGCGGGAAGCGGATCCTGATAGACCTGCACTGTGTGTGTGTGTGTGTGTGTGTGTGTGTGTGTGTGTGTGTGTGTGTGTGTGTGTGTGTGTGTGTGTGTTTATTATTCTGTCTGTGCCACTGTCTGTATGAACGAGCCTGCAGACGACACCCATGATGAGGGTACAGCCCTGACACGACGGTCCATCTCATTTAATGGCAGCCAACATAATGAGATCAGCCGCATCTCATAACACTGCAGACATGATAACATGCAGAGTGCTTATCAGCAGCAGGTCTATCTCCTCTCACTTCATGTTCTTATAGCTAAATGATAGTGTCTGAAATAAGGTATGAGGTAAACACAAGCTGAAGACATTTTCCAGCTTTGTCCTAGAACATAAAATACATCAGTAAATACCCCACTGGTGAATGTCTGAAGCTTGGGTGATTGACTGGGCGATATGAATGTGTAAACTGCATCAGAAGAAATGCGTCCACCGTTAGAAATACAATTTGTACCGAAGTATCTTGTGATTATTGCTTGATGTCAAAGATCTCGTGTGAACTCATAATATTGCATATCAAGCTGCTTTGTAAGGTAACGCGATTAAAACAAACATGAAGAAGGAAAAACTATTGCATTATAGGTAATTTTGACAGTGTTATGTCAGCTTGAAATCAATGATGAGCCAATCCTGCAGAAAAAGTCATTTGTTGAACTTAATGTAACGTGGTATTTATTGTAACTTTGATATAAATAACATGGACCATGTGACAGAAGATGTTGGCCATATTGCCCACCTCTACTAAATTATGTTAAATATTTAATTATAATATAATTACGGCTGCAACAAATGACCGTTTTCAAAATCTGCCAATTATTATTTGTATTAATTGTTTGGTCTATACGGTGTCAGAATATAGCTTTAAATGTATCGTATCTTATTTAAATATATTTGATTGATTTTATAATTACTACATGTCTTATGACCCTGTTAGGAGTGCACTTCTATTTGATTCATATCAGCCTCATAGAGCAATCTGTGAAGCCTTTGTTTGTATTTAAGTATATCACCCTCTCTCCATCAATCAATATGAATCAACACAAGCCTCTCGGCATCTCTTGAAGACTGCTCTTTAAAATCAATCATCCAGTCGACCGCGGACCGAAACCTCAAATTCCCACCGGGTTCACCTCCGCTTTAAATTGCACAGACTCATTAGTGCAGCCACAGAAAAACCTGGAGCACACTGACTGATGTGGACGTTATTTAAGCAAACACCATGTACCAAAGAGTTAGAGAAAGTAGGTCTATGTGAGAGTCACAAGTACAAAACTGCTTATACATATATGCAATTAGGGCTATAACCATTATTTTGAAGGATGACAACACCAAGGCCAATATACTTTAATTGTAAGCTAATTAATAACAAATTATTTTAGACATGGATTTTCAGTCATTTTTGATGAATTCAAAAGTTTTTTTGACAAGTGTTTGTTGTTTTTTTATCTCTTATATACAGTAAATATTCTTCTCCTATTTTTTACATGTGCAGAAAATGATATCCAAATCTCAAAAGGTGGCTTTGTGGGGTATGTTGACAGTTCATGTACATGGAGGTACACAGGGACTAGTTGGTTTATCTTGTAATTTCCATGTCTTGTGTTTTTTTCTTCCATCAAAGACTGCTTTATGAAGTGGTTTTGAATGTTTTGTTAATTCCTAATAAAAATCAAACGACTTTCGCTAAATCAATTTTTTTTATTTTAGCTAGTTACAAACTTGTATACAAAAAATCAGATATTAAAGGTCCCCTATTATACTGTTTTTCATCAATATATTATAGGTCTCAGATACAGTGGGGCAAAAAAGTATTTAGTCAGCCACCAATTGTGCAAGTTCTCCCACTTCAAAAGATGAGGCCTGTAATTTTCATCCTAGGTACACTTCAACTATGAGAGACAGAATGGGGGGAAAGAATCCAGGAAATCACATTGTAGGATTTTTAATGAATTAATTGGTAAATTCCTCGGTAAAATAAGTATTTGGTCACCTACAAACAAACAAGATTTCTGGCTCTCACAGACCTGTAACTTCTACTTTAAGAGCCTCCTCTGTCCTCCACTCGTTAACTGTATTAATGGCACCTGTTTGAACTCGTTATCAGTATAAAAGACACCTGTCCACAACCTCAAACAGTCACACTGCAAACTCCACTATGGCCAAGACCAAAGAGCTGTCAAAGGACACCAGAAACAAAATTGTAGACCTGCACCAGGCTGGGAAGACTGCATCTGCAATAGGTAAGCAGCTTGGTGTGAAGAAATCAACTGTGGGAGCAATTATTAGAAAATGGAAGACACGCAAGATCTCACCCCGTGGGGTCAAAATGATCACAAGAACGGTGAGCAAAAATCCCAGAACCACACGGGGGGACCTAGTCAATGACCTGCAGAGAGCTGGGACCAAAGTAACAAAGGCTACCATCAGTAACACACTACGCCGCCAGGGACTCAAATCCTGCAGTGCCAGACGTATCCCCCTGCTTAAGCCAGTACATGTCCAGGCCTGTCTGAAGTTTGCTAGAGAGCATTTAGATGATCCAGAAGAGGATTGGGAGAATGTCATATGGTCAGATGAAACCAAAATAGAACTTTTTGGTAAAAACTCAACCAAAATACCAGCAACAGTGTGTGAAAACCTTGTGAAGACTTACAGAAAACGTTTGACCTCTGTCATTGCCAACAAAGGGTATATAACAAAGTATTGAGATGAACTTTTGTTATTGACCAAATATTTATTTTCCACCATCATTTGCAAATAAATTCTTTAAAAATCAGACAAATGTGATTTTCTGGATTTTTTTCTTCTCATTTTGTCTCTCATAGTTGAGGTATACCTAGGATGAAAATGATATGCCTCATCTTTTTAAGTGGGAGAACTTGCACAATTGGTGGCTGACTAAATACTTTTTTGCCCCACTGTATGTACAAAACATGTCTCTGAAGTGTTTGGCTCCAAATACCAAACAGATCATTGCAGCATTACCCATAATCCCCTCTGTTTCAGCCAGTGTTGGGACTAACGCGTTACAAGTAACGCGTTACTGTAACGCCGTTATTTTTGGCAGTAACTAGTACTCTAACGCATTACTTTTTAAATTCAGTAACTCAGTTACCGTTACTACATGGTGCGTTACTCCGTTAGTTTTTTTATATAGTCAACAGCCAGGCGAACAGAGATGAGAACTGTACTTGAGTAAATGTACTTAGATACTTCCTGTGTCACATGCGGCATCTCTTGAAGACTGCTGTGGGCGTGTTTGTGTTGTTTACTAACAAGACTATCATGGCGGCGGCGGAGCTCAAGTCTAGTTTCTCCACCTGGAGATATTCTCACTATTTCACTTTTGTCGAGCACAAAGAAAAGAACGTTTTAGTTAAATGTAAGTTGTGTCTTGGCGGGTCAAAGATCCTATCTACTGCCCAAACCAGTCATTCAAATCTCTTAAAACATCTGCAGAAACAACATGCTGGGACGAAGCTAGTAGCTAAGACCACAGAGACTCAGCCGACGCCACTCCACCTCCACCTAAGCAACAGCGGCTTGATTTTAACCAAGGGACTGCTGGCCAGGGAAAAGTCGATAAAGCCATTGCACGGTATGTTGTAGAGCACATGCAGGCTATTGCTACAGTGGAGTCACCCGCTTTCAGGGAGCTAGTTAGCATGATAGCATGTCCGGGCGGCACACGGCATATGGGACGGAACACTTTTTCCAACTACCTGGAGAAAGAATATACAAAAATGGAAAGCCAGCTAATATCGATGCAATCCAGATTGCATATAATGCATGTCAAGTTGATCAACAGATTGTATTATTCTCCAATGCAATAACAGTACTGAAATGAAGGCTATAAGGGCATTAATGGGAGACATTTTTTTAAGTAACTAAAATGTTACTTTTCACAGTGCTGATTCTCTGTCTGTTACTTTAGATGAAAATAAGGAGCCCCTCCCCACGCCCCTCTGAGAGACATTTGGTTACAAAGAACTCAATGGTGCTCTAGGAGGAGATTCAGGTGATAAGGGGGGGGGCGGGTTACCTTGGTTGGTGATTGGCTAATGGTTACACAAGACAAAACATCGTTATGACATCATAAAGTGGCCAAAATCTGATCAGCTCATTTTCAGACAGGTTTTTATAGAAATGGATCAGGACAAAAAGAGAGAGAATCTTTGTTCCTGAAACTTTCAGAATCTCTTTCCACAGAGGGGACACATGTTGATGTAGAAGAGACATGGAGAAGAGGGGACACATGTTGATGTAGAAGAGACATGAAGAAGAGGGGACACATGTTGATGTAGAAGAGACATGAAGAAGAGGGGACACATGTTGATGTAGAAGAGACATGAAGAAGAGGGGACACATGTTGATGTAGAAGAGACATGAAGAAGAGAGGGACAATGTTGAGGTAGAAGAGACATGAAGAAAAGGGGACACATGTTGATGTAGAAGAGACATGAAGAAGAGGGGACACATGTTGATGTAGAAGAGACATGAAGAAGAGGGGGACACATGTTGATGTTAGAAGAGACATGAAGAAGAGGGGACACTGTTGATGTAGGAAGAGACATGGAGAAGAGGGGACACATGTTGATGAAGAAGAGACATGAGAAGAGGGGACACATGTTGATGTAGAAGACATGAAGAAGAAGGGAGGGGACACATGTTGATGTAGAAGAGACATGAACAAGTGGATTTTGCAAAATAGGTGACCTTTAAACCTTTAAATCTTTAAAGAGAAGCACTAATACGTTTATTTCTGACTCACGTGTGTGTCCATTCTGAGCAGCAGCAAACAAGGCAGCGGTTTGGTAGTGGTTGTGGTGGAGGTCTTGGTCTGGATGATTGTTGTTCTCTGTGGTGGTGTTGTTGGTAGTAGTAGTAGTGGTGGTGTTGGTAGTGGTGTTGGTGGTGATGGTGGTCGGGTCTGGTTGGTTAAGCAGCATTGACAATAAAGTGACATTTCCCTGGGAAGCAGCTTGGGGGAGGAGGGGGCGCCCGCCGTCCAGGGCAGCAGGGCCTCCGCCGCCGAGGGGGGGGGACTACGGAGGGACACCAGCCTGCAGGGGGGGGGAGGAGCAGGAGCAGCACAGGTTAAACTACCAGGAGGAGGAAGAGGAAGAAGAGGAAGCTACTAGAAGTACTGAGTATGGGAGAGCAAAGGTGTAAGAAGGTGGGAGGGGGAGGAGAGCAAACTTCAGTTTCACACATATTATATTATGGTACAGTTTCACCCCACAGGCCATAAGACTGTTAAACACCTTTTGAAAGAACATTCGTCTGTTTGCAACTTATATCAATATTCCAAGTACTTGTAGACAGACTATTCTGCACTATTTCTATTATATTTTATTTACTTGCACTATTTAAGTGAGGTATGGGATTAGAGATAATTTCCAGTGATGACAAGTTCATGTTTTGTAGCTAAACATTGTTCATTTCTTTGTGTTGTTTCTGTCTGTATGTAAAGCGTCTTTGAGCATTAGGATAGTGCTATACAAATCAAATGTATTATTATTATTATTTAAAGTCTGCCACATTTAATCCATTAATTGGAGGATTTTGATCTTAGTTTATTTCTATTTTTTTTGATTATTTGCGTTTGTGTAATGCTTTTTTTTGGTGTGCTGAATTACTTATTTTTAAGAAACGTATGAACAACTCAGGTAAAAACTAAATTTGAAGAGGTGCTTGGCATGATTATTTGTGGAGAAAATCTACCAGAATATATTGTGTTGATCCCAAAGTCTCAAAGATACCAGATATGTCAGGCTGGATATGGGAGTTGTTTATAAAAATGAGGCAGAAGATATAAATATTTCCATTTGATGATAACATGAAGCTTGAAAATATTTGTATGAATATTGGGTCTGATCTCAAAGCCAGTGTAAACATCATACAACTTTGATGAACAGCTGGAACAAGATGATAAAGAATATAATGCATAAGTATAGTATTTTCAGGTAGAACCATAAGGATATCTTAAAACAAAACTCAAAGGAGAATTTTTTTATTTTTTTTAATGAGCTAACAAGGCCAGCATGTTGGCTATTTTGCATCCAAGCTAATTGCTAATAAGGCTAGCTCAACCATTAGCTAAACTAACGAGCTAACTAACACTGAAGTTTCTTTTAGCAGGAAACTAACCAAACATATAATAATGTGTGAAATGCTTGCTAATATTAGGTTGGCTAGGTGTTTTTATTCCAGCATCCAAGCTAGGTGCTAATGGAGCTAGCTCGACTATTAGCATTAGCTAGATAAACTAACTAGCTACCATCACACAAACTGTACTTAAAGTGTCTTTCGGCAGGTAACTAACGACCAAACATAATATATTGTGTAAACTGTAATTCTAATGATATGTTAGTGTACTTATTTTAGCTAGTTACAAGCTTGCCGCAAAATCAAATATTAAAAATCTAACAAAAGAAGAAATAAGTTTGTTTATGTTGCTGTAGCTTGATAAGGCATCCAAGCTACGCGCTAATGGAGCTAGCTCGACCCTTAGCATTAGCTAGATAAACTAACTAGCTACCACCACACAAACTGTACTTAAAGTGTCTTTAAAGAAGGAAAATAACCAAACAATAATGTGTGAAATGCTCTCCTAATAAAAGGTGAGGGTTCTTATTTCAGCTAATTACAAGAAAAAATCTGATATTAAACCTCTCAGTGAAGCCACTCAGTTTGTTTCTGTTGCTGTAGCTTGAAGCTAGCTCGACCCTTAGCATTAGCTAGATAAACTAATTAGCTACCATCACACACACTGTAGACTAGTTAAAGTGTCTTTCAGCAGGAAAATAGCCAAACAATAATGTGTAAAATGCTCTCCTAATAATAGGTAGACGTTCTTATTTGAGCTAGTTACAAGATTGCCACAATAATCAAATATTTAACCTCTCAGTGAAGCCACTCAATTTGTTTGTGTTGCTTTAGCCTGAAGCTATTTCCGGCTAAATCCCATGTTACGACTGTAATGTTAGGAACATATCAAAGGATTACCGGGGGATTATGGTGACAAACGGGTAGACAGGTAAAGTGACATGCTGAGGTTTTATTTCAGATGGAAGTCATCCAGGTACACTGACGCTCCACTCCCTTTACTAAACCAGAGATAATCTCTCCATTTAGATCTGCTGCTGAAGCGTGATTTACAAAATAAACTCTTTATAGCTTGTTTAAATGTCATTCAAAATGTTTGGGTTTTGTAAATGTAGAGAAAAATGCCTGACGCTTTATTACTTTGTATGCTTGTTCATTGAAGATATGAAGTGCTCGCAAAATATGTACCAGAAACCTAATGCATTGAAGGTATCTTGTTCATTATTTTTAATACACATTCATTTCAAATTGAGTCTGACATATTTGGAAAATATTGGTAGTGTTAACAATGTATAAATGTTTATTTTCTACAGATTTAGAAACAATATTTTTCAGATTGTATCTCTGTGTAGGCCTATGCCTTTTTATTGAAGATAAATACTGCTTGCATTATTAAACTTACATTTCAAGCCTGTAACGCCCTGTTTTTATATCCGATTATTCTACAGAAATTGTTGATGCATCTTGTTCTTTATTATATACACATTTTAGTAAAACACAGCCTGACATATCTAGGATCTCAAGACCATTTTGTATCACTATTAGAATAAAAATAAAAGGTTGATCAAATGTCATGCTGCACAACACATGCTTATACAAATTTACCAATCGGGTTGGGTCTAGAGTTAACATTTGAATTGGAATTTAAACTGGTTTAAATTAATATTGACATAAATATAGTTTAAACGTGTAGGCCAAATAGTGTTACACCAGGAGAAAACCATGCCAAATATAAGCAAGATGAAAAACAAGATTTTGAGATAATTGAATATTCTTTACATACATTGTTTACTGTGGGTAATAGATCATATTTGTAATAATTATCTAAAGCAATACCAGGCATTCCTCATGACGCAGAAACCCTGTGATAAAATGTTGGTAATTTAATTAACATGTGACGTGCGCTGCAGCCTGGACAAAAGAGTCAGATTAACAGCGAGATGATGGATAGCCATCAGCTTTCAGTACAATCATTCACACAGTGGACAAATAGAAAATTCACACACTACTTACTGCAAGTATACAGCGCTATTAAATGATTTGGCAGAACAAACAGATGAAAATGGGAACAGAAAAGACCTGATTACTAAACAACTTCACTAAAACTACTTAGTAAACCTGCTAAGGGCTTTAGATGCTAGTTTTTACCATGGTTTATACTGCTATTCTGACCTGGGAGGGTTAAAATAGTTAGAAAAAAAGAAGAATGGAGAATTTGAGAGCAGAAATGTGTCTCACAGACTGAGTGGAGAGTTAAAAAAAGAAACTAAAGGTAAAGTGCAGCAGAGATTCTCAAGGACGTAGGTAATAGAAGCTGTTATCGAGGCACTTCCTGTGTGTCAGCAGATGGTGAATTAAAAAGGGCAAAAACTGGTTGATGACCGGTGAGATTGTGGACCTTCCCTTGCCCTAAACCAATTCACATATTTATAAGATTTGAAAGTGCTATTAAATGCAATAAAACCCCAAAAGGTTGGTAACTATGGTATAACAAAGATATCAATATTTTGTTCTTCTAGAGCACATGTGTCAAACTCAAGGCCCGGGGGCCAAATCAGGCCCTTGGTGGATTTAATTTCGGCCCGCAGGATAATTTCTAATTACTATTAGATCTGGCCCGCCGGTATATTGCACGCACACCTTCACTCCATCCTGAGGGTCTCCTCAGCTCAGAGCCTGAGCCCAAACATTGATGACCTTGCCCCCAAGATGAGATGCCAAGTATCTGAACTAGCATCACAGAGCAGCACACTGAGTTTAATGGATGTTTCCTTCTGCACTTTCTCTCACGACAGCAGGGCATGTTTGGTTTGTTCTTTGAGCGAAATAGTTTTGTTGAAGTTGTTGTTGGCCTGTGGAAAAATGTAATCATAAGAAATGACTCTGGAAAAGCTGCAGATAGAGCCATAATAAATTAATGCAACTGATTATTTAATGTTGTTTTTGTAGGCAATCATTTAAGCTTTGTTAGTCCCAGGTTTAATATGTGCAATAAGTTCATTTCAATACGTTTTGCAATAAACGTTGAACCAGTCCGGCCCTCGACTAGTACCCATTTTTAATGGATTCAATGGATATTCTAAAGGATTTGTTAACTACGTCATTATAGGCTATTTGTTATCTACAAAACACGTGTTTGAGTTACTAGATAGAGCAGCTTTATACGTTTAAATTGGGATACATCTGCTTGCAAAAGAACAGGACTTTAAAAAAATGCATATGTACTTGTCACAATTCACAGGTACAATTTTAGGATGGTTCCAGTTTATTACAACCTAGGTCTTGTATTCTTAGGTTTTTTTTCCTTTCTTATATAATGACTGCGAAAGCAGAAATATTACCAACAAGAATTAGAAGACTGGATCTTGAATATGAGCAGAGAGTTAATCAGGCCGAGAGTTAAGCCAAATTCTGTGATCCAGCTGATTTGAGAGTAAAACTAAGATGTAATATTCCTTCATTGTGAAATGTGTGCATCTAGGGGGGTATGTAAAACCAAGAAGTAATTCTGTAGTAAATATTCTCCTGCAGATTTAATATAGAGTTGTTGTTTCACATATCCAGGACGTTTTCCATTAACCCTGGAAATCCATAAGTGAAAAGAGTACGGTTACGTCTTCGAATTTCGGCATAGACCTTGTACTAAATGATCGGTTCTTGTGACATCTGTTTGAGTAAAATAGTTTTTTTACAGATAGAAATGATGACAATATTATAGAAAAAAATACCTAAATTGTAATAAACAGTAAACAACCAAGCGTAGCACCAAAAGCACATCACAAGGTAAATATAAATGCCTACATCTATATTAAATAAATAACAGAAACGTCACTGACATGAGACGCAGGTGTGATGAGTTAATGGAAGCAGAGACAGGAAGAGTGCAGGAAGTGGAGGAGTTGTCATGCTTCTGGAGGATGGAAAAGGGAAGGGGAGGAGAGGAGAGCAGCCTCTGGCATCAGCTTCAGAGAGGAAGGGGTTACTGCTGGGAAATATATCGAAAATCAGGAGAGGGGGAAACGAAAGACCCATGTGCTTCCCTACGTTTAATTAAATTACATTTCCTGTCACTTTATCGCTATGCTGTGCTATGCTACACAATGATATACTATGCTATGCTACTCTATGCTATGTGTAAAGACAGTTGAAGAGAAGAGGCAGATCCTACCATCCTTTCCTGTCACTTGTTCGCTATGCTGTGCTATGCTACAAAATGATATACTATGCTACCCTATGCTTAGCTATGCTATGATATGTATAAAGACAGTTGAAGAGAAGAGGTAAGGGGGAGATCCTACGTTGCATTAAATTACATTTCAGTTATGAAGAGAAGAGGCAGATCCTACCATCCTTTCCTGTCACTTGTTAGCTATGCTGTGCTATGCTACACAATGATATGCTGTGCTATGCTATGCTAATCTTTGCTATGCTATGCTATGTGTAAAGACAGTTGAAGAGGAGAGGCAGTGGGGAGATCTGGAGGGGGGTGGAGCACGGAGGAGCCCCTTTACCTGATGCTGTTGCCAGGGGGCTGCCTGCTGAGGCTCGGGGGCTACGGGAGGATGAGGCACTAATGGAGGAGGAGGTGGAGGAGAAGGGGGGGTTTATGGAGGAGGGGCTACTGACAGTGGAGGCGGGGCTGATGATGGGGGGGCACTCTGCACATGCAGGGGTCCGGACGCCCCCCGGGGAGAAGCAGGCACCCACCTGAGAGGCCATCAGGGCTGGGACCAGGTCCAGGGCGGGTTTTGGCGGCAGCTGGGGAGTGGCCGGTTTTCCCCCAGAGGAACGGTCCCCCACCCCCCCCTTCATGGAGGGGTGAGGGGGAGAGGGGGTCTGGGAAAGCCCTGGTTTTTTGGGAGGTATGGGAGGAGGGTTTCCCCGGTCGATCCTGGCCACCGTGGGCGACTTGAGGCCGATTGGGTGGCTCAGGCGTCCGGGGAAAGGTCCTCCTTCTGAGGCGGAGTGAGGGAGACCCGGACGCATGGGTCCTCCCGCGGGGGGGCTGGTGAAGCGCGACAACACCTGGGTGACGGTGTGCCGGGCTTGCTGTTTGGCGGCAAAGTTGTCCCGGTTGGTGGGCGACAGGTCCCGGGCCGGAGGACTCTGGGACGACGTGCCGTTTTGGTCCTGTTCCTGGAACTTGTAGCGGGCGGCCTGGACGCGAGGGCTCACTCCGGTGGGGAGGCCGTGGGCGGGTTGGCCCTCGGAGCCGTTCTCCGTCTGGACGAGACCCCCCGAGCTGCTGTGGACGAGCCCCCGCCCGCTCGTCTTCGGCAGACTCAGCCCCACGTAGTTGGCGGGGGTCGGTTTGACGGGGACAGTGAGGGGGCTCTTCTTTGAGATAGGACCGTCCATCTCAGTCGGGGGCAGGTTGTCCGTTTGAGAAGACGCTGTTCGGGAGCTGATGGGCTCTGTGGCTACGGACACAGACGTCACAGCTTTAGGTGTTGGTGGTGTGGGTTCTGCAGCAGCTTTAGGTTCTACGGCAGGTTCTACGGCAGGTTCTGCAGCAGGTTCTACGGCGACTTCAGCGTCCTTCCCGTTGCCCGGTTCAGTCCTAAGCTGCTCCACCTGCTGCCGTAGACTCTGGCTCTCCGTCTCCTCGCGGCCCAGCCTCGCTCTCAGCTGTTCTCGTTCCGTGTCAAACTCCGACAGCTGCTTCTCCATCTTGGCCTCCATCTGTTGGCTGCGCTGCCGCTCGGTGGAGAGTTCTTCCTGCAGCCGGCCCGAGGCTCGGCTCTCCTCGTCCAGACGGGCCTGAAGCTCGTCGAAGCGCTGCGACTCCTCCACCACCCGCGTGGCCAGCTGCTTGCACTCGCGCACCAGCATCATGACGATGTGCTTGTTCTTCTCACGCTCGTCCTTCAGCTGCGCCGTCAGCTTACGGTGATCCTGCTCTAAACTCTGCAGCTGCAGCTTCTCCATCTCCAGCTGGAGGAAGAGATACACACAAGTTAGGAAACATATTTAAACAAGATTTCATAAATACACAAAAAGACCACCAAAAGATCATATCCTCCAGCACCCGTGTGGTACAGAGCTTTGTAGATCTACATACAAGATACAGTCTTTATCAAGTGCTTAATGTAGATATGGATCAATGCAATGTTTTAAAAATGCACCAAAGAACGCGCATGATATTTTATAGATCTATAAAAAGATACAGCCGCTGAAGTTATTTATTGCTTAATCGATTGATCATCCACCTCCCTAACATGAGGACTTTTTTCCGTTTAATGTCACTCAATGTTAAACAAATAAATACAAAGGCATAGATCATTGCGATCATTAGATCATTTCACAAATGCTCAAAATAACCACTAAAAAAATCACAACACAGGTACAGAGCTTGGTAGATCTACGCAAGGGATTCTTTATTACATTACATTGCATTGCATTTAGCTGACGCTTTTATCCAAAGCGACTTACAATAAGTACATTCGACCAGGAAGACACAACCTTGAAGAAAACAGAATCATCAAGTACATCAGGTTTCATAGAGCCAAACATTTCAAGTGCTACTCAACTGGCTTTAGATAAGCCAGTCCTTTATTAGTATATAAGTGCTCTGTTAGCAGTTCTTTGTTAGTAATTCTATCGCTCGAGGTGGAGTCGAAAGAGATGAGTTTTCAGTCTGTTATTAAGTGGTATATGTCTACACACAGGGCACAGCAGCAGTAAGAACGCAATGTTTTAAAACATTTAAAGAACTGGTACCAAAAAACCTGAGCTTGGTAGATCTAATAAGATCGATACAGCTTTCATCGAGTGCTTTAGAGATATCTGCAAATTAATCGATTGATACACAAAAATACGCCAGCTTCTAAAAATGTTTTTATTCATTTCAATATGACTTAGGGCTGCAAACTAAAAACTAAATGATGATGATATTAAGTGATATCTTAGTCGCTTTGTGTGTAAAACGCAGGCCCGGACTGGCCATCGGGAGGACCGGGAGGTTTCCCGATGGCCTGGCCTGTTAAGTGGCCTGCTGGCCTGAGGAATTTTTTTTTATGTATTGTGAACGCAACGCTGCGCAAATGTGGGTCTGACTCTGCCTCACAGAGGGTGACTGGCTGTCTACATGATGTGGCCTGCCGACATGGCCACTTTCATACAGATCATACACTAATGCCCTCGATTGGTCTCGTGTCATTCAAGCTCGGGAGGGTGTGTATGTGTGGCGCGAGCAAGCGAGAGAGAAAGCGCGTGCACTGGTTACGTGTATTGTTATTGTTAGCATCCGGTGCTAGCTAGCGGCGCTAACGGAATGAGCTGTCAACAAGGTGGAGGAGAGTCCTCTGCTGTCAGACTGAGAGGCTGATAACTACAGCTCAGGTGAGGTAAAGGACTCTCTGAGTGTTTAGATAGTTAACTTAGTCTAAGTTCACAGTGGGTCTCAAACGGTTTGGTCACCATTTATGTAAACACATATTTCCATTTGAAGGGGGAGTGATTAGTAAAATATGCATGAATAATACAACAAAAAAAAGTTAACTAGGTGAAAAAAGGTAGGATAAACTTTAAAAACTTGTTGAGAGCTAAAACTAGTCTTTGCTGCTGCCTCAAAGAGGAGCGGGGGGGGGGGGGGGGGGAGAGGAGCGAGACAGGTGAGGCTGGTTCAGGAGCACAGACACACTATGCCATGCTAACTATAAATGAACCAAAAACAAATAAATAAACAAGTTTCAATGTTTTTTCATATTGGATATGGTATGTTATTGGCTATGGCCATGTTCTTATGATTTTATGATTATTTAAATGTATACAGTTCTGTTTCATATGGGTGTAGTCTCTTTATTTCCCCCTCAAAGTGCACCAGATTGATGCATTTAAGTCCAACATTTAAAAAAAAAAAAATCTTCCGCGGGGAGCATGCCCCCCGACCCCCCTAGAGGATTTGAGGTCCACCTCCACTTAAAATATGTTCACATGGATAGGTTCCTAAATAGATTTGCACTTTTAAAAAAAAATAGTAACCCATGTCCATATGTTTATTCTGGGGTAGTTTTAAAGTTTATGGGTATCACTACGGGCAGCAACGCTGTAAATATTGACAAATAAATCCAGGAAAATTACACAAAAGAAAACTGGTAGTGGCCTGGTTGGATGTATAATTCCCGGCCTGACTTATTGTCCCAGTCCGGCCCTGGTAAAACGTATATAAAAAACTAAAACTAAAATCTCGATCAGTGTTCTTTTGTCCACAACTTAAAGATATTAAGTTTAGGTCATAGAACAGCAAAGAAACTAAAACATATTCATATTCAAGAAGGTGAAACAGAATATAATTGATCTTAAAAAGTACTTAAAACAACTAGTTGATTATTAATAAAACGAATTGACAAATTGATTCATCCTAACAGATCTAATTTGAATATTTTATCATCTTGTTTTTTACCTGACGATCACTTATACTTAATTCAACAGATGAATTGATAAGAAACCTGCAGCAGTAGCCTTTTTATACCATGAGCCGATAACAGAGTGCGTGAGTAAGTCATCAGGTGTCTTCAGTTACAGAATTAGTGAATGTAGTGAATGTGATGCGCATGTGACAGACTGACATCATCCCGGATACCTTTTAACACAGGTCGTCTATCAATCAGTCCAGCACACACACACACACACTGTACACACTGTACGTGCTCCATGAGCGTCACATGTATGTCAAACATCTGAACATCTCGCACACACACATTCCACATCACACCACCTGTCTCACTGCATCTGTGACACACTGCCAATGTGAGGCTTCATCCGGAAAATACCATCCATCTGTGGGACCCTCAGTAACATTGGGCCTGTTAACACACATGGAAACTGTAATATTCTGTACAAGCACTTTAATATTTAGTAGGTCAAGGCATGGGTACAAGGAGTGATGTGTTTCTGTGTTTTCAGGTAAGTTTAAGTGGTAAAAGAGGTCTAAAAGTAGTGCCAGAGATGTATAATGAACGTGTTAGTGTTACAAACTAGTGGTAAAGCAGATACTGTTGTAACTTGTTTTATTTAAGGCAGTAAAACATTTGATTATTTGATTTCTTGATATAAGTTAAAAGGTACGTTTCACAAGAAATGCTTTTATTTTGAAGTGCAAGTATGTCTCTTCCTCTGACTGCTCCCGGTTGTTAAAAATTGAATACGAGCATGTCGAGTGCATTTTCTCTGTCTTCCACCGTTCTTTTTGGAAACTGTTTAAGGCCCTGTCACACTGTCCCGAAATTGACTCCCGATGGACACACGAATATGGAATTGTGAATTTCGCACGAAGATGGCCCCGAACCACACACGAAGGCAACATTTACATTACATTTAAGACATACAACTGCAATGAAAGTACCAAAAACAATTATGTTACAGTACTATGATACTGTACTGATATCTTCAGACTTTGTTCTTTACTTTATCGGTCGTTATATGTAGAAAATATTACGTTTTCTCCGTAATGTTGTTTCCATAACAACAACAACTTCCTGTCAACTGTCCTTCAACATAATATATTATATCCTTTTTAGTTTCACAGAACACAAATTGGGTTATTTACATAATATATTTACATGATTTTGTTGTGCAATAAAACAACCAGATAAACACGATAAAGGAAATGTTCAAATTCGGCTGTGATCGTAGCAACATCGGGCCATTCGTGAGGGCATCTTAAGCCATCGTATGACCGCCGGTGGAGTTTCTCAGGCTCCGGCAGCAACTTCGTGAGCGGCAACTTCGTAAGGCACTTCGTGTTATCATCGGTGCATTCGCCCTCACTCTGATCGGGGTGAATGCCCGATGGCACCGATGATAACAAGATGCCCTCACGATGGCCTTACGAAGGGCAAAATTGACACACGAATTCAACACGAAAATGAACCTTCGGCAATTTTTTGGCATGCCAAAGATTTTGCCACCGCTCACGAAGTTGCTGCCGGAGCCTGAGAAACTCCACCAGCGATCATACGAAGGCTTAAGATGCCCTCACGAATGGCCCGATGTTGCTACGATCACAGCCGAATTTGAACATTTCCTTTATCGTGTGTCCATCGGGTTGTTTTATTGCACAACAAAATCATGTAAATATATTATGTAAATAACCCAATTTGTGTTCTGTGAAACTAAAAAGGATATAATATATTATTTTGAAGGACAGTTGACAGGAAGTTGTTGTTGTTATGGAAACAACATTACGGAGAAAACGTAATATTTTCTACATATAACGACGGATAAAGTAAAGAACAAAGTCAGTATCATAGTACTGTAACATAATTGTTTTTGGTACTTTCATTGCAGTTGTATGTCTTAAATGTAATGTAAATGTTGCCTTCGTGTGTGGTTCGGGGCCATCTTCGTGCGAAATTCACAATTCCATATTCGTGTGTCCATCGGGTGTCAATTTCGGGACAGTGTGACAGGGCCTTTAAGGAATATAAAGTAAAGGTTCAGTTTGAAATAGACTGTGCTTGGTTCTTCATTCGCAGCTTCTATTACACAACAGATACTAAAGCTATATCGCAGTTGAATGCAAGTGTATTCTTTCACACACAGTGACATCACGAGCTACCCACAATGCAACACGCACCATATATATATATATATAAATACGCCATTTTCATGGAGGTGCAAATATCCTGGAAGTGCAAACATAAACAGCTAGCTAAGGCAGAGCGCACTAGGTTTTTTTTCTGAATTAACGACCGAAGAAATCGCTGCATGTCTTCGGATTACATCTCTGGACTTGAGGGGTGTGCTCTAGGTCGTTACCAGCGTAAACTAGAGCTGTGTGGGTTGTCCGATTGCCCTTACAGACTGCGTTGATTTTGGCTGCATCTACGTCTATCTTCTGGAAACACCAGGTGAATACCCCACTTGTCACAATAATATTATCATGCCATTGCATATATGTGGTATTTTAGAGTTGACTAGATATTGATTAA